TTGAGGTAGTGTATTTAGAATCAGGCTTAGGGGCTGCTACTATTCAAATCGATAACATGGCAGTTTTGTTCTATGAAACCGTCTGAACATTCTTCAACACAAACACTCGCTATGAGATCTTCAAAGAGTTCCCAACACCAAGTTTTCACTGTCTAAAGACCTAGCTGTTCCTGGGCCTGGAAGAGTGGTTCAGCTGCTCTTTCAGAGGACCTGGGTTCGAGTCCCTAGTACTCATAGGGCACCTCCCAACCATCTGTTAATGTCAGTTCCAGGGACCAGCAACATTCGTGGTGTAGGCAAAACACCCAGACACATAAAATTAATTTAAATGTTTAAAAAGTAGCCAGTTTACTGCCTTGCTAAAGGAAATTGCTTTAAAGGACCTTTAAGCTTTTGGGGGGGGGGGGATCAGTCCATTGGGCAGGCAAGAGAGTTGCTCCCTATCCTTTCTTGCCACCAGTGGAGTCAGAAGAATAAACACAGTCTGAGGACCTCTACCCAAGAAGGCCACAGTTCTCAACTAAGCCAGCCAAATTATACTAAGCAGAAGGCTTTGCCTAGCTTTTCTACTGCCTGGCATTCACAGCCATACTCTTCAGCTGTTTCCAAGAAGGATCCAACTCCTCCCGAGGCAAAGAAAAACAATAGGAAACAGTTGTCGATTCTCAAAAAAAAAAGGTTATTACAAATGTGCTTAATAAAATACATGTAATGGAAGCCTGCTTAATAAAGCTGTAGCTTAGAGAGAGATGTGAGGAAGCTGTTTCATTTTTTATTAAAGCTGAATTTACTGCTTTGGTTTATTGGCTTATGTTCTCAGAACTTAATTCAGTCTCTAGATAATCTGCCCTGAAAGAAAGCAGGTGGGTCAGCTGTGGAGCGCTCTAGCAGTTTAATGAGTCATGCTGCAGGTCTGAGCCCACCTTGACTTGAATCACCCCCTCCTCAAAACCACACAAAAATTGCAACTAAAAAATTCAAACAATTCCTAACTTCGTCAGCATTACTTTTCTATAAATATAAACAACGTTTTCTATATAATCCTGCAATGAACCCTATTTTCAGACTTTCCACATTTCTCCTGACAGGCCACCTGCTCTGCCTTATCGCCCCTATTTTTTTTGGGAAGGGTGGAGGCTTGTCTTAATTGCTTTTCCCCAGGAAAACTACCCGGACAAAAGCCACGTAATGAAGGATTTCTTGTCTCACAGCTCAAGGTCCACCATGGGAGGGAAGGTCCACCATGGCAGGGAAGGTCCACCATGGCGGGGAAGGTCCACCATGGCGGGGAAGGTCAAGGCAGCAGGTGCTCAAAACAACTGCCCACTATCCCCGGGCTTGCGTACAGGGGATAGTGGCGCTCACCTTTGGGGTGGCTCCTCCTATTTCAGTAAACTCAACAAATATAATTCCTCATCGGCAAGACGAGAGGCTCACCTAATCATGAGGGCTTGTCTCTTAGATTACAGGCCCTGTCAAGCTGACCGTAAACACCACCGTCAGAGGGCTGCTGAGCTCCCTGGAGGCATGCTGCTTCCCCGTTTGGGGAACTGAAGGTGAGAGGTGAAGAAGGGAATGGAAGGAAGGCCAGTCTCAGCATCTTTGGTGGATGCTTAGGAATAAAAGGCAACCAGGATTCCGGAAAAAGTGAGGACAAATTGGTCATCCTACAGAAAAAAGAAATCTGGAGTGAAAAGTAAAAAGAAGTAACTAGAAAATGGTTGTAAATGATGTTCTTTTATCAGAGAAGATGTTAAAATATTAATAATGTTTCTATTAGTAAGCTATTGGTTTTACAAAACAGGCATCCACTTGAGAGTGTTTACATAGACGACTGCCAAATACAACGCACACAGGACAAATCGTGTAGTTTGGCAGTCAGAAATATTAATATATTGGGAACCAAACATCACCTTCCACACACACACACACACACCTCTGCCTGCATGAAACTCTTCTACATGAAATTCAGAAAAATCCACCTCAAGCCACAAGCCATTTCCTGGAAGCCTAATTCCTTTCAATAAGGCACTAAATCATTTTATTGCAAACACCACATGCTTTCTCATTGCTGGGAGTGCTATTTTACCTTCATATTTTCAAAGTTCTATTGTAAACAAAATGATCCTTTGTGATTTTTCTTAATATTCCACCTAATTTATTGCTTTCTAGAATTTCTATCATTACAGGGCCTCTTTTCATCACCCCAGCCCCCTGAAAAAACTAATCTATTCCCCCACTGCCTGTCAGAGACCAGAGTGCTGACAGTTATACCATGCCACGGCGGGACTGGTGTGCATTCTGAAAAGGACCCTGGCCCCAGCCTGTCTAAGCCAAAATGCCCTGCTCATCTCAACCCAGGCCACTGGAGCAGCTTCCCGTGAAATAAGGAGGAGGTCACAGAAGGCCCCACCTACACACTTGAGCTACCGTGCTCACACAGAGCCACCAACACAAAGACGACTCTAGTCCCAAGTGTCTCAACCTTCCTAACACTGTGGCCCTTTAATACAATTCTTCACGTTGTGGTGAGGCCCAACCATAACATTAGTTTTGTTGCTACTTCATAACTGTAATTTTGCTACTGTTATGAGTCATAATGTTTTCTCCTGTGCATTTTAAGAAGTCATTTGTCAGTAAATGTTCTTCATGATATTAAAATAGTTTGGCAAGCAGAAAAACTGAAGATGTGAAGGGCAATTTCTTGCCCCTGTGTCCTCTCATCTTTATTAAATAGCAGCTTGCCCAAAGTAATAGTTCATTGTGTAAGGATTTAAAACATTGCATCTTTGGATACTGTTTTCAAAAGCCAGCATGAGGGAGACTTCCTCATCCCTGATTACTGAGCAGCACTACACAGCGACCTTCAGGCTACATTCAGACCTGCTCTGAAGACTATACAGCACCACAGCACCACAGCAAAGGCTGCATTGGTAAAAAGTCTTGGCTTCATTACAAGCTTTCCTCAGTAGCTTCCCATGTGGAACCAGAAGTACACTCCATCCTTCTGATGAGGCACAGTCTCTCACTTCCTTGGTATTCAGGCAAAATTTTCTTGTCCAGTTCTATTGAGCAGAATATATGAGGAATGATCTTCTTTCTAGTGTAGCGTTTAAATGTCTCCTGGAGTCTTTTTCTAGATGTAATCGGTGTCTGGAACCTACATTACACCCCAACAATTACTTCCTTCTCATTGCTACAATGCAAGTCAAGAAATTCAGATTTCTATGGCCCAAACAAGACTGGTTTGTTGTTGTTGTTTTGGTTTAGTTTGGTTTGTTGGTTTGTTTTAACCTGAAAACAGCAATTTTAAAAAAGCAAGTCACTAATATTTCCTAATAAAACATGGATTCATATATGAGGACTACAGTAACAGCTAGTCACTATTTCCTCTGACTTTAACTTTGAAGATAACATAGCTCACCCCCTTTCTTCTTACCTCTGTGGGTTTTGGCAGGCTACTTAAGTGTTCTGAGCCAAAAGCTGTCATCTGCAACACATAGATTTCAGTTAAGCTGTGATTAGTTTGTGAGAAGCCTAAGAGCGTGCCAGGAAATATGCTTGATATTGACTCCAAAATGTGACAACAGAAAAGTTTTATGGGTGGCAATTCTATTGAAGGGAAAAACAATAACCCTTGCATTGGAATCCTTAATTACAAAGTGACGACAGGCTTATGTTTGGTCTGTTTGTCTTGAGTGGTAGCTATAGGAGATCATGGAAGAATGTAAAAAGCAACAATTTCCCAGGTATCTACCAGAGCCACTACAAACGGCACATGCTCATAAAGTACAGCCTTGTCATTGAAAATCATACAATGTATCACTGCCTCATTTGAGCAGAACACTTTTATACCCTGCTTTCTTATTTATTCGTCTAATATTTAACTAAACATTATATTTCTGTCCCCACACATTAGAGTTAGTTAAATCTATGGATATGGTTTTCAGTAGTGAGTCAACATAATTTTATAAGTCCATGGTTTTTCACTATGTATAAAACTGAATAAATACAGAATAACTCCCCCAAATGATGACACAGTACCCAGAGAACCATTCTAAATAGAGGGGGAAAGAAAAGAGAGTAGTTCCTACCTAGAAATATTCAAATTTAGGGTCTCTGTGTGGGAAAAGAGTTGGCAGTCCGTTCCTATTTTATACCAAAACAACAACAAAAAACACCCCAATTTTTGAAGCGGGTGTGTGTGTGTGTGTGTGTGTGTGTGTGTGTGTGTGTGTGAATATGTCTCAGACAAACTCACCACAGTGTCTGCTTGGCCCGTTGCCTTGAAAACAAAGATGCAGAACAATCACGGTGAACAAGGCCTGGCCGAGCAGCTTGCAGAGGCCAAAGGTGAGTTCACAGCGGTGGTGTACAGGTTCACAGAGTTTAGAGGGTTAGGAAAGTAACATATAGGAGAAGGGTAAGTGTTAGTTTTGAGGTTTCTCCTTGGAGAAGGAAAAGACCAAACCCATGTGTTTCATCTATTCAAGCTCCAGTTTACGTTTATAAGAGCTGTCATTTAAGAAAAGGGGACAAGGGATACTTAAATCTAAAGCAGCGCCAATTACAGTACCCTTCTTTCCCTTCCCTTCAACCACTCGAAAAAGAACAAAATACAGACTGCTGGCCCTTGCTCGACAGCTTTCTCAGAAAGTGGACTTCAGAGCAGCTGGCTAGTAGATACCAGAATTTCTGAATTCCAGAGATGACGAGCATTCCCATTTCGTCACCATCGCTAAGCAACTCGAAACTTCACAGAACAACGAACTCTCAGCATCGCCGGAGACCTGCCTGCACCCGCAAACTTTACTTCACCTCCTCAAGAAGGCAGGCAGAGCAATAAAACAGGCACTTGCTTATCCTACAGAAAAGGCAGACACCAATCTCTAAAAGACATCAAAGAGAAACTACATTTCCCAGCATGCACCGCGACCCCGGGAGTGGTGCATGCCGGGACGTGGAGTCTCTCAGTCTGAACCGCCTAGGGAAGTTTCCCTTCCGGGCCCAACTGCCTTTCTACACTCTAGAGTGTTTCAAACCTAAGCTAGACATTGATAGAACCTTGTCGGTGGGTCTTTTTCGTTCACATCAAGATATTTCCGTTGCATAGTAGCCGCAAACAGCTTCCGTTTCCGGTTGGCCTATTGCCTTGGAAACAAGAATGCAAAACAATCTAGGTGAGTATGGCAGGGCTGAGCAGCTCGCAGATCCCCGACGGTGAGTTCACGGCGGTGGTGTACAGGCTCATCCGCGACTCCCGCTACTCCGAGGCGGCCCAGCTGCTGGGCGCAGAGCTGCAGAGGAGCCCCCGCAGCCGCGCCGGGCTGTCGCTGCTGGCCTACTGCTACTACCGCCTGCAGGAGTTCGAGCTCGCTGCAGAGTGCTATGAGCAGCTGAGCCAGATGCACCCCGAGCTCGAGCAGTACCGCCTGTACCAGGCCCAGGCGCTCTACAAGGCCTGCCTGTATCCGGAGGCCACCCGGGTCGCCTTCCTCCTGGACAACCCGACCTATCAGACTCGCGTCCTTCGCCTACAGGCAGCTATCAAGTACAGCGAGGGAGACCTGCCGGGAGCCAGGAGCCTGGTGGAGCAGCTGCTGAGTGGGGAAGGTGTGGAAGACAGTGGAGGGGAGAATGATTATGATGGTCAGATCAACCTGGGTTGTCTGCTCTACAAGGAGGGACACTATGAAGCTGCCTGTGCCAAGTTCTTAGCGGCCCTACAGGCTTCTGGCTACCAGCCTGACCTTTCCTACAACTTGGCTTTGGCCTATTACAGTAGTCGGCAGTATGCCCCTGCTCTGAAATATATCGCTGACATCATTGAGCGAGGCATCCGTCAACACCCAGAACTAGGTGTGGGCATGACCACCGAAGGCATTGATGTTCGCAGTGTTGGCAACACTGTGGTCCTCCACCAGACTGCTCTGGTCGAAGCCTTCAACCTCAAGGCAGCCATAGAGTACCAGCTCAGAAACTATGAGGCAGCCCAGGAAGCCCTCACTGACATGCCACCCAGGGCAGAGGAAGAGTTGGACCCCGTGACCCTGCACAACCAGGCCCTGATGAACATGGATGCCAGGCCTACAGAGGGGTTTGAAAAGCTCCAGTTTCTGCTCCAGCAGAACCCCTTCCCCCCAGAGACCTTTGGCAACCTGCTGCTGCTGTACTGCAAATATGAGTATTTTGACCTGGCCGCTGATGTCCTAGCAGAAAATGCCCACTTGACCTACAAGTTCCTCACACCCTACCTCTATGACTTCTTGGATGCCATGATCACTTGCCAGACAGCTCCTGAAGAGGCTTTTGTTAAACTAGATGGGCTAGCTGGCATGCTGACTGAGCAGCTCCGGAGACTTACCATACAAGTACAGGATGCAAGACATAACAGAGATGATGAATCTGCCAAAAAGGCTGTAAACGAATATGATGAAACTCTTGAGAAGTATATCCCTGTCCTGATGGCCCAGGCGAAAATCTACTGGAATCTTGAAAATTATCCAATGGTGGAGAAGATCTTCCGCAAATCTGTGGAATTCTGCAATGACCACGATGTGTGGAAGCTGAATGTGGCCCATGTTCTCTTCATGCAGGAAAACAAATACAAAGAGGCCATTGGCTTCTATGAGCCCATTGTCAAGAAGAATTACGATAACATCCTGAGTGTCAGCGCCATTGTGCTAGCCAACCTCTGTGTTTCCTATATTATGACAAGTCAGAATGAGGAGGCTGAGGAGCTGATGAGGAAGATTGAAAAGGAGGAAGAACAGCTGTCCTATGATGACCCAGACAAGAAAATCTACCACCTTTGCATTGTGAATTTGGTGATTGGAACCCTTTACTGTGCCAAAGGCAACTATGACTTTGGCATCTCTCGGGTCATCAAAAGCCTGGAGCCTTACCATAAAAAGCTAGGAACTGATACGTGGTATTATGCCAAAAGATGCTTCCTGTCCTTACTAGAAAACATGTCAAAGCATACAATCATGCTGAGGGACAGTGTTATTCAAGAATGTGTCCAGTTCCTAGAGCAATGCGAACTTTATGGCAGGAACATCCCTGCTGTTCTAGAGCAGCCCTTGGAGGAGGAGAGAATGCACACTGGGAAGAACACGGTCACGTATGAGTCGAGAAAATTAAGGGCCCTGATCTATGAGATCATTGGATGGAATATGTAATTGTGGCTGGCAATGACATTTATCATGGTGACTGTATGTGTAAATTTTCAGGTGTCCTCTAGCTTTTGCTACTTGTATTTACTACTTGTGAGACTTTGTACACTTTAGTATAAAAAAAAAAAGAACTATTAGATATAACCTGCACTTTTAGATTACCTGTCAAATGAGATTTCATAAGAACTTAGGCTCCAGAAGGTACTGTGAAAATTTCAAAACCGAGAACGATATGTCTATCATGTTTTCTCCATCTCCTTGGTTTTGCTGTATCTTGGGCAGCCTTTGTACTTACATTATTCAGGGACCAGACACTAAGTTCAGAACTTAGTAGTTCATATGTCTTTTAGTAATCACTCCAAGGATTATTTCCTTTTTGCACAACTCCCTAGAGTTTATTTATATATATATATATATATATATATATACACATATATAAAGAATTTAGAATATTTGAGTTTTCCAATATGTTTTGTCCAGATTAAATTAGGTAATAAATGGTTTTGCTAGTGTTCAAGATTGAGTAGATTCACTTAGCAAGCTACAACACTAATAAATACTACAAATAAATCATGATAAAAGAAAAGTCCTGTGGTGTTTAGTTCCATGAGTTAATTGTTTGAATTTATGACCAAGTCATACTGTTTTATTTTTTTCAAATACTTTGTTCTAATTTATCTCTAACTAGGACCAGCGGTAACCAAAGAACTCCGGTTGGTTTTTTTGTTTGTTTGTTTTGTTTTAATTCCCTTATACAATACCTCCTGAATGCAGTTTCTCCTCTCTCTCCTCCTCCCAGTTTTCCCCACAACCTCCCCTATCCCCCAGATCCACTCCTTGTCCATTTCCCTTCAGAAAAGAGCAGGCCTCCCAGGGACATCACCCAAATATGGCATAACAAGGTACAAGAAAACTAGGCACAGACCCTCATATCAGGGCTGGGGGAGGCAACACAGTATGAGGGAAAGGGTCCCAATACTCACTTTGTAGACTAGGCCAGCCTTGAACTCAGAGATCCGCCTGCCTCTGCCTCCCCAAGTGCTGGGATTACAGGCATGTACCACCATGCCTGGTTTACTTTCCTTGTTTTAGTGACTTGGGTACAGAAAATTTTAGTTCATTGTCATTACCATGTCCAAAATAACTCATTTCCACAGTTGATGAAAAAGTCAGTCCTAGAATGCAAGCTCATAGAGTCATTGTTTGTTTCAATCCATGACTTCCAGTAGTTTTTCTGGCTTCCCACTGAGATCCTTGCTCATTCTAATCACTTCACATCCTGAATCCTACAAAAACAAAACAAACAGCCCTTCATCCCTGTCTCTCCATAAATTTGACCTGGTTTTATCAGGTTGAACCATGTATAATTGCTGATTTTTTTAATTTACCTACAAATTCAGCAGTTTCTGAGGTTCAACCAAATCACTTTCTGCTGGCAGACAAAAAGCCCCTGCCGCCACGTGAAGATGACTTTCCCCATGTAGCTGTGGCCTGGAGGTTCAGCATAGTGCCTCCGCTGTGAGCTGCTGTTTGGGATTACGGCGTTTGTAGTAATGGCCTGAGCTGCTGTCATTGGGCAGTGTTAGTCTGAGCCCGCACCAGAGGAGAATCAGTGCTTAGTGGCCTCTGAAGATGCCACCCCACAGCACATTCCACGTCTCAAAAAGGTTCCTTGATAACTTCTGCTGGGCCAGAAGCTCTGGCCCCTCTCACTCTCCACAGCCCCGTAAGAACCGGAAAGTAAATGAACTGCAATCTTATTTTTCAACAATCAACATTGTTTCTTCTCTATTTCCTCTTTAGAAAATAAGAAAGTAATGTTAACCACTAAAAAACAAATGCTTTCCAGATTCCCTTTTGCAAAGAGGCCAGACTTGATTTGGCCAGCTTATTTTCCCAGGTGCTGTTTGTGGTTTTCGTGTATGAGTGGCTTAATTTTCAGAATGTAAAAAGCTTTTCAGAGGAAGCCTTTTAGCCTCTGCAGCTGGGCAGTTAGGATTTCCCGGTCAGTAATGCAGTCTGGAAATTCTGCCTGCTCTACCTCTGCGTGAAGGAATAAAGCTCATGCAGGGAAACTGCCTCCTTCCCTATCCTAACTCTCCAGAGAAGGGTTAGGGGTTTCAGCGACAGCAAATTCTCAGGAGCCTGGAGCTGAGGCCTGCTGAAGTGGCATTCTGGAGTATTTGTATTTTATTTTCAGCATATGTATATATTCAGAGAATTTTTACATTTGTTTAGTGTTTCATGTGAGCACAAGTGTGCCATGGTGCTTGTACGGCACCAAGACACTTGCTTCATTCTAGAAGGACTTACAATGGCAGCCCCTCCCATCGTGTGTGTGTGTGTGTGTGTGTGTGTGTGTGTGTGTGTGTGTGTTGTTTTCTTGACTGACATTCTCTACTGCTGGCACAAAGCACTGTGCCATGATCCTTCCGCACTCAGGGTAGCACTAAAAACACTTTTCCTGACAGGAATGAATCCCTTATCTTTCTGAACCTTTACTCCTTTAAGACTTTGTAAGACTGACAGTCTATTTCAAAGGGCTCGAATGTAAACCCTGTACCTTATGATAGTAGTCAGCCGTGGATCTCCAAATACACAGAGTTCCAGTATGCTGCCAGAACTTTAAGGTGAGAGCTCCGACTATGGGAGCCACAACAGCCCAGTTACCCATACTACACCAGTCCAATAAACCAAGAGCGGTGAAGGGCCGAAAGAGAATGAATTGGCATGTCCAAGCTAGGAAGAACAAGTAAAGAAACTTGTGGCCCCAAGTTCATCCTCACGGGGTAACAAGATGAGATTTTAATGGAGAGGCTTGGAGCCAGTGGTCTCGTGGGTCGTTTTCTGGGTTCTGATCCTACAAAGGGTCTGGAGAGGATGTCCTGGTCATCAGCAAAGGGGAGCAATCGGACTCCAACAGGATCATCGCTCAAGGAGCCTATTCGCCAGCACCATGGCGGGTCTCCTCAGAGGTGGCGTAACCTGCAGAACTTGCTCATCAGGGATACGTTCAGAACCTTGTCAAAAACTTGTTTCTCTGTCTTGAAATCCAAGGAAACTTCAGGTGACTAGAAAAGAATGTTAGAGAGCCAGGGGCAGGTTGGTGGTAGTGGTGAGCATGGTAGCATACGCCTCTACTCCCAGCACTTAGAAAGCAGAGGCTTGCAGATCTCTGGGGAGCTAAAGCCAGCGAGGGTTGGGGTTCAGAGTCTCTCACTGTTACTGGGTCTTCTAGAAGAGCAACCACTGAAGAGATGTTCTTGGCAAGGTTTACGTGAAGTCACAAGAAAATTTAAAAAGTTCTGTAAACAATGACTGGTTTTAGAAATGTTTTATTTGTTCCCAGCACATCTTAAAAAATTACACATGGGCACTTCTGTTTTAAAACAACACAGTCTAAGAAAAACCAGTAAAAGGAAATTCCGAACACACACTGAAAGCGTGGGATATGGACTATGCATTGAGCCCTTGTGGAAAGGAGCAGCGTGGCTCAGGCTGAACTTGGCAAGCCGACTAGGGCCTCTCAGGGGTGTCGCCCTCCCACAGCATACCCACATTTAGACGGTAAGCGTAAAGGGAAGAGGACTGTTTCCTATGCAGTCATTACAGCGGTATAATGGCTTACGTACACAGTTTACCCACAGGTAGTTCCCAAAAGATTACTACAGTACTGGCAGAAACATGACCCGCCATGGAGGAAGACTCAGGATATTATTCAAGTCAAGTTGGATCACAGCAAAGTATTTCACATACTTAGCAAAAAAAGAAAAGCTGTAGAGAACACCCCCACTTCTCACAGAAGTTTTTTTTTCTGCCCAGGAACAAAATACTCATGATTCCGAAAGCACCATCACACACAGAGAAGACGACACAGCGTAACAACTAGAAACCCTGCTTCTGGGCTCCACTCCTCAGGAAGCTGTGTGAGCAGAGAGCGGTGTCTCAAGGTTTGCCGAGCCACATCTCAGGGCAACTGGACTGGAACAGTAGGAATGAAATGGAGACACAAGTCCCACAGAGTGGTTAGATGTTTGAGTCCATGTCCAGCATATAACTAACCGATACAGATAACCCAAACCAACACTGGAGAGTGTTTCTACATACAACCACCAAAGTCTGATGTGACACTGAATTGCTAAATCATCTTTGTCTTTACAGACGTACCCTCTCTCATTTTAAACCGTTTCATGGAAAAAGAAACATCCCAAAAAGGCACTGTGAGCTTTTAGGGGATATCGCCTACGTCATCACTCAGGAAATACCTATCTAAAAGAACCACCCTGATGCAGGCGTCGCAGGACCTCTGTGGACAGCGAGCAGATGGTGTCTCACAGGATGCATGCTGTGATGCTGAGAAACACTAGCCGGCTGCCTTCCAATCAGCATGTGTAGCCGAGCAAAATATGGTCAAGATTTCTTTTTCCTATTTCCTTGCTCTCAGGAAGTAAGCCGCCAGTATCTTAAAAAAAAAAAAAAAATATTCAAACAATGTATTACTTATTCCTGCTTTAAAAATGAATCACCACCACCCTTTGGGGGGAGTCTTTAGATGTGCACAGAACTAGAGGCTCTTCTGTGAGGGTTCTTTGGCTCAGGTATGGCATCTGTTGGTGACCTTTACCCCCGCATTAAGGAGCTGACTGTACTTAGGAGAGTGAGCGAATGCTCGCTGTGACCTGCCAGGCTTGGAAAAGAATGCTCCCGCATCACAGACTCAACACCACCCAGGAGTTTAATCTCAGTCTAAAAATGGCCCGAGACTGATGTAACCTCGCTTATGATCTACTCGGCTATATAGCCAAAGCGAGTTAGCCAGTGAGGTTTTCTTGATAGTGCTACATTAGCAGACTTATAAAAATTATCTTCTACCTTCAACTTCAAGGAGATACAGAATAAAAAAGTAAAGCTGAAAACATATGCAAAGAGAAGAAAAAAAAAACAGCTTCACACTTCCTTTGATTTAAAAAAATCATAGGCTCATGTCCATTTTATTAACAATGTTTCTATAATCTCTTGACATTATACAAGCAGATGTTACAGGTATGTCTCACACACTGAGGACAAATGCTATTTGGTTTAAGGAACAGAGAGCTGGTTACATCCTTCAAGTCAGACATATCAACAGTTTGAGAAAACCTTTTATACTTTCAGGATTTCCCTATTGTGTGCAAGTGATTTCCTTTCCTCAGTAAAGAGAAATTAATAAGAACTAAATGACTCTGTAGGCAGATGGCTCATAATGGAACATAAGCGCCAAGCCAAGGCAAGCGAAGCCTCCCCGACTGACCAGCCAATGGCGAAAACTCGGGTCTCTGTAGCCCTCACCTGCAGCTGCTGTGCTGCCTGCTTTGCTCCTGTTGAGCTGAGCCCTGTTAAAACCAAAACCACTGAAGACTGAGTGAGGGCTAAGACCCTCAAAATCACTAAAACTATTCATCACTGGGTCTAACGCTCCTCACACAAGATACACCTTCCACAGACAGCACCTGTGGCTGCCTCAAGTGTTGTCACGACGCGGTGTAAGGCAATCCTTCTACATCACGGTGCTCTGACAGTGATACCAAACCACCCCACCTGCAGCAACACACTTCATGTCAGGGCTTCAAAGCTTCCCTGATCAGTTACACTTAGAAGTTGTTGGGATCAAAGAATATGACAAACAAGTATCTCTGGGATCAACATGCAGAAAGGCTTTTTCAAATATGCAAACTAGGACTCAGTACTATATTCTGGAGGGGAAAAGGGAGGGTTCTTACATGTGTTTATATCTGATATAATATACACATTGATGGAAGCTTGTCTTTTATTGATCTTTTGTTTTCCAAAATAACACCAACAGCACAAATATGCATACGAGAAGGCTTCCAGACCCAAAAATAACCTTAGATCAATATTCCTATAATGTATAAGCATTTTGAGTAACAACCTCCCATTCCTAAAAAGAGCAAAGTTGAATCCTTTATTCTTTGACAAATGCTGGACACAAGGAGCACGTGTCCTCCACAATGCGGCTACGTCAGAGGTGCAGAACCTTCTCTGGCATGAGACTCAGCTCACTTATGCACCATTACACACGGCCCCACACACTGTGGCAGCTTTCTCCAAGGTCAGTGGAGCCTGTCTGTTGAGACTTCTCACTTCACTTCTCATTAGCAGCAAGGTCCCATTCCACTGAAACCCCCACCTACATGTGACCTCATCAGATTCAAGCAAAACATCACATATATGGCTTTCATAAGAAGGACGAGTCCAACAGGCTGCAACTTTTAAAGAAACTAACGTACAAGTTAAGATGCTTCAGAGAACAATATTCTCCTGGGTTGAGCTTCATGAAGCCAAGTGCAGACAGTTCCGAGAGAGGAGGCAAGGTTTAAGTGCTTTGTGCATATTCATGAACTCACGTTCCTCAGCAGACATAGTCTACACTGAGGCACTCTCAGAAGCAGGTGGGAAGGCTTCCTGATTTACACGAGAGTGAAACACTGCAAATGAACATTCTCGTGTTCCAAAATGATCCCTGTAGAAATTATTTCAAATACAAAATGTAGTAACCATTACAGAATCAAGGCTTGTGAGGCCTGCATACACAGAAAAGAAAAACAAAGACTGCGAACTGCCATAAAGCTTATGAGTACAGGGAACCCAACAACTTCCAGTGTTAGTTACAACACAGTACAGACTGCCAAGGCTGTGGAAATCTGAATGCCTTGAGGAAAATATTTTAACAATCACATGCAAGGAGCTGCATCTGCTAATGAAACTGTGTCTTAAAATAATTCCTTGGGAAGATGTAGACACTTCCAGCGAGATGATGGAATCTTACTAAATGTTACACTTCAATGACCAATTAGAGAATCGCCTTCATGAAGAGAAGCATTTTACAAAGAATCTAATAATTCTAGAGGCAATTTCCTCAAGTGTCCAGCTATTTCAAACCATCAAAGTCTTTAATCAAAGATCTGATGTAAATTTTATAATTAAAAATAAATCATCAATAAAGAGGCAGCTTCCAAAAATAAATATTGAGTTGTTGTTAAACTAATACTTAATATTAATTTTCCTACAGATTTAAATTTGTTAGTTTGAGGCCAATTTTAATAGATAAAAATTATTTATCTTTTTGAGTTCTTAAAAATATCCTTTTGTCAATTTTAAGTTTTCACTGTTCTGCTTAAGGCTACTTCATATATAAAAGGTATGAAACTGCCCCAACGTATTTGGAGCTGTTGCTACATAAACAGACAGTGTGTCCTTTTAAAGGATCGTCTGCATTTTGACTTACATCATCTGATTAAATATTAATTTTAAAAAATTATCAAAAGTTAGGTATTGCATTAAGAAAAGAACCCATCTCAAAATGTGAATCAGGAACCTCAACACAGTGATTTAAAGCAATCGCTCCACAAATTTCAATATCCAGTTCTGAATGTAAAAATGTCTGCTAAATGTGGTTAATATTCTCCTTTTTATTTAAGAAATAGGATATTTCAAACTTCTGATTATGGCATATGCACTCATACATTTTTCTAAATTTAGGTTAAACCAGTAATTCAAAAAAGCATTAAATTATTATTAAGAATTAAACTGAAACTATTTTGCCATGAAAATTTATCAGGCTATCTGTGACTAATTAGAAAACAGGATTGTTGTCATTAAAATTACTGAAGCTTTCAAATCCCCAAGTCAACTGTCTCTTTAAACTGGAGACAGCGGGTCCAGGAGCCTTCCTTTTGTTCCCGCTGCAGCTGCTTGTGCAACCCGGCAACAAGCATGGGACAGCAGAAACGTGAGGACTGGAGGACGGGCAATGAGCTTCGCTGCGTGGTGAAACCTGCTCTTCAAGTGTAAGTCAGCTTCCTTACAAAGCGTGTTATGGATGATCTAGGACACAGCCAAAGGTTACACCTCAGTGACACAAGCACAACTTGCACCCTACTAGAAACAGACACAAGGTCAAAAATGTGTCTGCTCACAGAGTAATGTGTATGTTGGCAATTTTAGTTTGTAACTGTATTCACTTCACGCAAAGCTTAGGCTGAGCACCTTATACAGATGAAGGCATGCTAGTAACAGACTGCCAGCTGGGTCATAAGTGTCCTCCTCAAAGGCCTGCTCACAGGAAGAATGTTTTAACAACATACACAAATACCTCTCACCAGCAGAATCTTTGCTGCTTTAGAGAAACGTTGAAGAAAGGACGCAACATAAGACAGCTAGACAAGCAACGGATGACACCATCTGCCTCAGCTCACCTAGGGAGGAGCACGGGAAACAGCTGGCAGCATCCTCCTCAGATAACAGGCAGCCTTGTGCTGCCTGACTAAAATCTGAAATGACTACCAGTCAGTTGGCTATAAACTGGTACACCTACAATGAGAGACCCAGGAACATCTGTCAATCTATACATGTAGAAACAAAGCACAGAACAAAAGCCAACTCATTTTAAACCAACAAACAAATGTAGCTGAAATACAGTCCATGATCTATTTGATTACTGGTATAACCATAGCTGATGACTTTTAAAGGTAACGTTTTCATAATGATATTAATGGAGTTATAAAAGGTTTCTGTTTCCAAAGATGTTACTGGGGTCCACATATTCTTTGACAGACTTCAGCATCCCAAAGCCGACATCAGAGATGCTCTCCTTCAGCCACTGCTTCCGTAACTTGCCCACTGGAAGACAAAATTAAAAAAAGGTTTCAATATACACCTTGAATGCTGGAAACCAATCAATCTTGTGACCATGAGTGAGCAAACACTGTGTGATAAATGCTTTTATTCAAAAATGAGAAATGTTTTGCTTTATTTGATTTATTGAGCCCACTAGACTATCAAGCTCATTAAGCTCAATGCATTCCCAGGGGAAGTCTTTGCCCCACAGTGTCTCTTTTCTCTGTAAACTATGAAATGGAGATTGAAGGAAGCATGGACTGAGATTACAGGCTATTTCACAAATAGCAAGGTAAAAAAAAAAATCATGCTTATCAAAAAAGCCCAACCCTTGTCATAACTACCCAACAAGCCAAAATTGTGTAGCAAATGAACCTCAAAGTATCACAGAAAAACAAATCTGTTGGGTAGACTTAACAAAAATGACACCTTTAAAATATTTTAAGGAGTACAACTGAAAGAAATGAAAAAAATCTGACTCACAGAATTCTGGGGCAAAAGATCCATTTATGAATCTTTCCAATCAAAACTCATTTCCAAGTGCTTTAAATAAACCCATGTACCCCAGATAATAGTTAACACTCTCGCCAGCGTTCTGCCAGACCCAAACATTTGGGAGGGGAACACACAAAAGCAGGTGCCTAACCTGTTTTAAATTTAATCTCCTCTTATAAACTGTCCATTTTATTTTCTCCTTGTTTTAGGTCTTACAAATTTGAGGCAATGAAGTATCACAATAATTAGCAGACTTAATTATTTTTAAAGGCACTAAATATAAAACAACCTTTCCTACCTAAAATTTTTGTGAGGGACAAATGAAAAAAAAAAAAAATTCTGACTGTCAACTTGCTTTGGCACTGAAAGCAAAGCAGTGTCCTGACTTTAACATGACAAAATGGGTGCTTTAATTTACATTAGGGCTATTTTCAGTGAGCATTTCTCGAACATATGCATTATTATAATAACTGAATTCAAACGGCCACTTTGCACAAATGTTCATTAATGAGCCAAAGTCATCAACAGAGACTTAATTGGCCAACAGAAATGGAAAGCCTTTCACTGAAGTATTCGGCCTGTCACTCCAAAGTACACTCCCATGTGTCAGGCTGCAGCAATACACCACAGCACCTGCTTTTGCAACTTTAAATACCACGTCAGCTCAGTTCAAAACAGCTTTCCCATCCACTTTTCTGGAAAAGCCTCAAGCCATCATCCATGTAACAAATGGCCCGGTACTTCAGAGAGCAAGGCATTTATGGCCGGCGTCAGAAACAACAGAGCACTGTGATGTTACCATAGGGGAAGCAAGGGTTGGTGGGGAAAATAAAGTTCAAAAGAAAGTTTCTCTTTCGACTTCTCCCTGTGCTGCAACCTGCACCTTGTCATCGGAAGTAGACTGACCTATTCAACTACTACATCCTACACAAGCCGAAGTCTGTGTTTCCAGATCTGCCCTGGGAGACTGAGTAAACAAACAGCAGCAGCTGCTCCGAGTTGTGGAAGGTGCTCCTCACGCTGGGGTGGCCCAGGAGAGCAGGAGGAAGAGCCAGCGCCAGCCTCCACAGTTATCTGTAATACAGCTTCACTGAATGTGTCCTGTGGTTATGGATGTAACTGTCCTGAAAAGACGGCAAACAACTGCTCCAACAAGATGGAGCACATTAGAAGCTCAGCAGGACGCCCAGCAGCTAGCTTGTCTGCCTGGTTTTACACCTCTAGTAATAATGCAATTCCACAAGGAACTGAACCATTGTCTGAGAAGCCACCCAACAGCCATTGCATACTTAATGAAGTCGCTCACCAAGCACTGGAAAACAGAAGGTGCTTGGAGTGCATCATTAGTTCTGTCAGAAGGATAATTTACACATCTATCTTGTCAAATTTTCTATGGTTTATACTTTTACAATAATCAATCTAACATACATTTGATTAGTGAACTAGCAAGCAGCAGGGGAGAAGGCATAGCTGTGGCCCCTCATAAACATGTTTGATGAAAGAATTTAACCCATTTGTGGTACTGGTCTGTGAGCGGCTTCTGCTACTGGTAATAGAAACCGCAAGTCAAGGGGTTGGAAACCTTGACTTACCCAAGTAAACGGACTAGAAATCTTTGGTTTTGTTTGACAAATTAGGCCAATGACACTGTAGAGTAAGTGTGCTAAGGGGAAGCATGGTTTAAACATAAGCATCCCGTGAGACTTACTAAACAGACAGTACCTGGAAACAGTCCTGAGCCCCCGGAGAGCTCTGCAGGGTGGCCTGAGAGGCACAGTAGTGAAACAACAGAAGGACGCGGCTCCGAAGCACAAGACTTTCACTGCAGAGCTGGACCACTTGTCCGTGAGAAAATTGTCAGCTTGCTTGATATGCATCAGTTAGAAGCCAGGCCCCTCTACACACCTCTGACCTATCTGCTAGACACTTGCATGGTAGCACCTTAAACATTTGCACAGCTCATTTTCTAAAAAGGTAGAGTTCCCTTTATGTAGTATGCCCTATCAGACAGGAAGAATGACTGAATGGGCACAAATAGCAAATAAGACAACTTCTATATAACTACTATGCAGCAGGCACCACAAAGAAGCATATGGCATGGTAAAGCTTATGCTTTCTATACAACGATTATCCTATGTGCAGTGTTAACGGCTACTCAAGAATCCAATGGCCGGGGCAGCTTTCATGCTTAAACTAAAAATGGGTTTCACATTTCAAGTCTGATTTCCAATCGTGTCTGTCTGTGTATTTACTGAATTAAGACAATTTTTGATGTGTTCTAAGCTCGAGAAAATAGGTTCCAGGGATGTTATCTGAAAACATGTACTTTTACATGGCTCTTTGGACAGATTCAATGAATAATAGGCTTTGTAGTATGATACAAACATTAAAAAAAAAAAAAAAACAAAAAACAGGGGCCAGAGAGTTGGCTCAATGGGTAAAGGGTTTGCAAAAGCCTAAAATGTGAGTTTGTATCTTTAGCACTATACAAAAGACAGGACGGGTACACTTGTCTGTAACCACAGTGCTGGGCGGGGCAAAGATAGGCAGGTTCCGGAGCTTGCTAGCTTGCTGGTCTAGCACAGAAGGCAAATTCTAGGTTCAATGAGAACCCCCATCTCAAAAACTAAGATACACAGTGAGTGAGAATGATACTCATTTGAACCTCTGGACTCCACATGCACACAATGGCCCATGTCACACATATAGTGTGGGTGTATGCACATATATACACACACACACACACACGCACACACGCACACACGACGGTAAGGATGAAGTGAATGATGTCATATGTAAAAAAAGTGTGGACATGATGGCTAGCCTGACCCACAAACATTATCTTTGTGGTTGGTTTGAGACTTAGCAAAAACTACCGAGTAATTCTATCTTGAAGGGACTAAGTCTGGGCCAGCTGAACAGAGGTCTCTTTTGTCTGTGTGAGGTTAACGTGTTAGTTGCAGTTTGACTTAAGGGCAGAAAGACTTGTACAGGCTTACACAGAACAAAACAGGAGGACTGGAACACAGCTCAGTGGTGAAGTGCTTACCTAGCATGCTGCAGGGTCCAGGGACATGGTGGAAAGGAGGAGAACACAGACAACAAAGCGGACTAGAAAGAGGAGAAAAGAACTGACTATAAAATAGACCACTTGTTTAGGAGCTTACTAAAGTTGAAGAAAAAGTAGGATTGGCAAAAGCCAAAAGTAACAGCTATGATTTTAACAACTACATCTTGAGAACTACAGTATAGGGCATGTCCAGCACGCTCAGGTGTGACTTCAATTCCCATCATCACAAAATGAGAATTAGCAAATAACAACACACTCAATGTACCAAGTACCAATTCAGCCTTAATCTGTAAATCACATTTAAAAAAGAAAATCATGTACTCATTTTTATGAGTGCTCTGAAGAGTGACTTTTTAATTTTTTCCTTAGTTCTTTCCTCCCTCCCTCCTCCTTCCCTTCCTTCCTGTATGAAATATGTGCTGAGGATGCTGAGTGTCTTTCTCTATTCCTCTGAGGCAGGGTCTCTCACTGATCCTATTCAGTGCTCACACTTTGTCAGCTACAGTGGCAGCCAGCAAGCCGTAGAGATCCTCCCACCTCTGCCCCACTCAGAGCCGGAGTTATAGGAGTGTAGCAGCTTATTAGATGGGTGCTGGGATCTGAACTCTGATCCTCATGACTGCAGAAAGCATTCTTGACCACTGAGCCATCTCTCTCTAGTCTCATAAACTTATTTTTCCTTTAATTAATATGATGAAACTACTGCTAGACTACGCCTAGAACTAATGCTGATGGACACCGGTGTCTTGTCAGATGAAGTTTGGGTGCTGTGAGATCTGTTAGGTACTAACCAGAACACAGAAAAGCAATGGACAATCTGACTGAGTTACTCAGTAGAGCTGATGTTTCTTAAAAGGAGATTTGACTTAGAAAAAGGGCTCTGCCTTACATGTCTGCTTGTGCCGTAAAACACATTGTGGTTGGTTGACTCTGGCAAAACTGTATGCTTCATAAATGCCAGGCATCTACCTGCAACTAGCCGTTAAGAGAATCTGAGATAGACTGCAACTCTTAATGACTTTGTGAGAGAAACTACGCACTCAAGACCGCAAGCACTACTTATTTGTGTCATCTGCTAACGAGACCTCTAAGATAAGCTGAGGAATGCTACAGACCTTACAAAAGCAATGAAAGCCACTGTTCTATGGGTTTTCCTTACTGCCAACTTTCGCATGCCTGTTTTCTTGCTTTCTTGTTTAGTGGGTTTTGCCGGTTTTCTGTGATCACTCTGCCTCAGCTGCTTGAGCACTTGGTTATAGCTATGTCCACTGCTACCATGCTAGCTAGCATTGCCAGTTCTTACCGTTGATGCTGTTTTGTGTTTATGCACAGGGTTTGTCTACACAGTTTACCCAATATCTCTGAATGTTTAAACAGCTCTTTTGAGACTCAAATTGAAGAGACATTTCAATAATTAGATCACAAGAACTGGATTCAC